CCTTTGTTAAACGATTTTACGCGTTGTGCCTCCAAGTGGCAAACCACTTGCCTTCCGCGGGTCGTTGTGCGATAATTCGCGCACCCGCTACAAAGGCTATCGTCCAAAGGCTGATACCAAGGACATCGAGCAGATTATTTTCAACTGAAACCATCCACCGCTCACCAAACAAGATTCCACACACGCGACATCTAAGAGAGAGACTCTAAGATTTCCCTTTCTCCGCGAGCACGCGCAACTTTCCAAGAGAGGAAAAAATTTCGATTCCATCTTGGAATTTTGGGAATTTGGAAAGATTTCAAAGTTGCCATAAAGTAGCACAGGCGAGCCAAGATGCCGTCGGTCGCTGTCGAGCGACACGCCGCGCAGAAAACGAGCCCTTAAAATCAATAGGGCCGTGTGTGTGTGTCGTCCCCTGTCGAATCCACCCCCTCCGTGGACACGTTAGAAAAATGCAACTACCCTTTCGGGTGGTGGACTCGGTGAGTGCACTTGGTAGGCCGCGGTGCGTTCAGCGCATGCAAAATACACGCTGGCAAACGCGAACCCCTCGGCCTCGGCTGCCTTCGGACCCTCCAAGGGGGCCCTGCCACTTAGTCATCCCCCATTGCAATCTCTCATTGCATCGCGCAACGTTTTAACCATCGGTATCGCGCCCGTCTCGAACCCGCCACGGCTTTCAAGACTCGACGCCTATCGAATCTCAGCAACTTCCTGCCCGTTTTATAAATAAATAAATCAGTCGGCGCATCGACGTCATCCGCCACGAATTTTCGAATTCTCACACGCCCCGAAGAAGCTTAGAATTATTCATCGAAACTAGACGTTGGTAACGAACATCTGCAATTACCTTAATTTTCCTTTCCAATAATTTATAATGTCGTATTCACAGAAAGAAATAAAACAGAGGTATATAGCGAGTTGAAGAAAAGAATTGTATTGGCGATGAAGCTGAGGACACGCGCGTTCGTCCGAGGATAATCGTCAAATCAAGATTTGGCCAGGGCGTTCGAAAGGGAAGCCTTTCGCGTCGATGAATTGCAAATAGTGCAAGAAACGATGACTATACTAGGATACACAAGGGAGGGGCTGGTAACCCTCTTCGTACAGGAGCGATTATCTCATGCAAATATATCAAATCATTAAAGATGCGCCAGATTATTGACGCGACGCATTATAAATACGTGACAAGAGGCAGAAACGAATGTTTTACGCGTGCTTGGAAATAAATTCTTCAGACATACGACTATATAAGGCTATAAAACGATATGAAACAGAGTCTTTTGATCGTGATGTAATACAAAACTGTAAGCGTGAAATAGAAAGAAGCGAGTAACAGACATAGTGCAACTTTCTCAAAAATATTATCGCGCAAATATAGTAGAAATTTCGTTTCACCGACGACTAATGCTAAGAAACGAAAAGGAGTAAATTGACTGGAAATTAAATGGAGACATGTAAATGCAAAAAACAATACTATAAAATTACTATTGCCGAATCGATCGAAGTTTGTTTGGATTATTTGAGGCAGTTCATTTCTTTCCGTTTTGTTCCGAATTGCGGCAAAAAGCCTTGACCAACTGATGCAGAAACAAGAGCACGAGATTTTACTACGAGATTACTACTTTCTGCTCCATTTATCGTAACTTTCGAATATCGAATTCATTGCCCAAACGAAACAGCAAATGATGGAAACTCGAGGGAAGGGGAGAACGCGATATCTTAACGCAGCTTTTATCTTTCCCGCGCATCCTTGAATCGTATCGATCCTCGAGATCTCTCCGCGCGCCAAGCAAGAGGCCATAAGAGGGGAAGAAAGACCGATAATTTTCCAGAGGTAGAGCCTCGGCCTCAGTTGATCAAGTTTATTAAGCGAAGAAGGCCCAGCAACTAGCCAGAAGCATCCATATAATCTGGAGAAACTGAGTTTGCCGGGCAAGAAATTTGCCATTTGCCATTTCTCTTTCTATCGGAGAAATAAAGTAGTCACAGGGCAGGCCTGAGTAACCTTGCTATTCAGTAATAGATATCTTTCAGATACTCGCTATTTATATATATATATATATATTTTTTTTATGTTTATTGGAAAAGCTAACGTCCGAAGAGAATCCTTTTCGAGAACTTTGGGAATTACGTACTAAATCGTCTAGAATCTCTGACCTTGGAATTTGGAACGAAATCTATGAAACAAGACAAACTAATAACGCGAGACAAGCAAGACTGGAAAGAACAGTGTCCAGACGTTAGCTCTCGAGACGGTCATCTCTCTTAGAAAGGCTGAACAATAGGTCCACTTCAACAGGCATACCACTCCTACACATTTTCTACGTGTATGTTTACTTTCCCCATAAATGTACAATAATGCGTTACGTATGAAATGTTGATCCAAGCTGTACGACAGGCATTGTGAATTGAAGGGAAAGTGAAATATATATACTAGACCTTACGTTATTACTGATACGCGTATAGATAACAAAATTCAGCAGTCGAACTACTGACAAATCTTGAGCACAAACAGCCTCAAAGCACACGAGTGATTGTTACAGGAAATATAGCACACCACTGATGTTAATTAAATTTGGAAAAACAAGTTAATTATTAAATTTGACCTTTTTCTTTTTGAATTTCGTCGCGCGAAAAGTGAGGAAAGTCCGTAGAAAAATGGGTCTAATCTTTGTATCGGACGCAGAGATGGCTAGTTATTTCCAAAGTGTTGACAAAACGCAGAGATCGCAACTCCATTTGTTTCAGCATGATCATTCCTACCGGTGGAAGAAAACGTGCTCGTCACGGCACTCGTCCTCGAATACCAGATACGTATACATTGGAACCACGTGTTCCTTTCGCTCTCTTTTTCCAACTCTCTTTCGTCGCGGTGGCGAGTCGTAAATCGCGAGTACGAAAATTTCTACGAACAATCGGTAGCAATCGTCGCCCTTCGACTTTCGACAACCCCACGAGGCGATTCTTCAAGAGATAAAGCAGAAACGAAAAAAAAAACTCTGCTCGCGAAAGGAATATAATCCCTAGAAATCTCAATTAATCTAATTTTCATCATTCCCTGGAATATTATTTCTAATCACTGCAGGCAGTATTTTTTCGTCTTTCGTATAATAATTAAATAACTAATCGTAAAATAAGTTCTCTATACTTCTAAAAATATAGGAAATATCTAATTTATATTTTGTATACATATACATATATATATAAATAACTAGTTATGAAAGATATAAAAGTTTATCCTGGTATCTTAAATTTATATATCTTAAAGATATTGTTAATATATCTCAAGTTGGTACAACTGCCACATTGCACGAGTTCAGGAATATCTTTATTAGAAATTATATTTCTGTATTACAATTTTTTTCAACAAACGAACGATAAGGATTTTAAACGCAAGTACCTACATATTCAAACGCGCCTACAGAGTCGTGGTAATTGCACAGTTGGAAAAGATAATAACGCATGAAACGAGTCATTTTGTCAATAACATTGGTATAAATTTCCAAGAACGATAGAAAGATGTGTAACTCTGGTGAATTAGATAAATGACAATTAATCACGCATATACTCGCACGGCGTTGCGCTGCAGCTTTTGATCGCGAGAGGGAAATGTCAAAACAATTCTTTGTTTACCTCGATCATAGCTTCCCCATGGCCGGGAACTTCCTTCCTTTACTATTACAACATCGTATATCGAACTACAGTGAACTTGGAATTTTCACAATTGCCTTTTTCAATTGGCTGTCAATATATACGCGAAATAGGGAAAGGCTGTTCGAACAGAGATGAACCAGTTATAATTCTAATTTGGGGCTTCGGTGTTTCGAACAGTGGTAATAACGGTGGACTTCAAAACAATGCGTTTCCATTAAAAAAATTGACAGCAGCTATCGGCAAAGACGCACAAAGCAAGAAAACTCACCGAACTCTGCGGGGAATTGGATACACTTGGAGACCGTTGCACGGTGACCAACGCCATGATAAGAACCTCCCACGTTGTCGAGATGTTGGAGATAACACTCACTGTCACTATACACACACGTAAAAACGATCGGATCGTTTGAACCACGGGAAAACGATCATTTTTCACACACTTCTAACGGCATCACGCTCGCGGCCGCCATATTCGATACAGTCTAACGTAGCGGCTATTCTGCGCATGCGTCCAGTCACGGCGTGCGCACGCCCGCGATTTTTCTTATCGTACAATGACGTCATGCACTATGTTTTTTAATTTCTTTACGTGACAAAGTTGCTTGAAAATTATACGAAATAAACAAAAATAAACACGCTTTTGCACGAATCTACTGATATTATTTGTACAATTTTTAACGCACGCAACATACATACAAAAAATTATGAACATCGAGTGATCGTCTTTTCAAATCGTCTTTATTATAATCATATAACTTTGAATTATCTATAATCTACACTTTATTCTGAACATTATTAGAACTTATAGATTGTAAAACAGAGTAAAACTATATAATTTTTTACTTTCCACATTTTCTATAACGTTCCTTGCAATTGTTAAGAAAATTTACACTTGCATTTACACAGAACGTTTAAAAGTTATTTTGTGGCTATAATCGTATTTGAGAAAAGACATTTCTACACAGTGCATATCTTTTAAGAATTAAAATTCGAAAATTTCGCTCGTGCAAATGTTACAAAAGATTGTCACGTATTTATTTCTTGATGATCGCGAATTACTTATGTATTAAATTTTATATGTGTGCACAAATACATATTTTTGTTCCTTGAGACGTTTCAAAAATATATCAGTGTTGTTAAAGAAGTTGGATATCTGTGTTAGTCATTCGATTATAGATCGATAGTTCGAAATTGCATTGAAGATATCGGTCAGAGAAGTAATTGTCAAATGAAAAGAAAGAAGACCTTGTGAAAGTATTACACAAGTTTGAGTAACAAGTGTATGTTATATTTCTATCACAAACGGGGAAAATTTATTAAAAATGTCGAAAATTTTTACACCAACGAATCAAATAAGACTAACCAACGTTGCTGTAGTTCGTATGAAAAAAGCAGGAAAACGATTTGAAATTGCTTGTTACAGGAACAAGGTTATCTCATGGAGGAATAAACTGTAAGTCTTTGCCCACAGATTAGAATTAAGACATACGTTGCATTACTTGTACATTTTTTGGTATCTAACCTATACGTATTTTGTCTTCATAATTATTATCATTTTTTTTTTTTTTACATATACACACACGCCTATACATATACAATACATGTTAAATTTTTATTATCAAAAAATTACATTTCAGAGAAAAAGATATTGACGAAGTTTTACAAACTCACACAGTATTTATGAATGTCTCAAAAGGCCAAGTAGCAAAGAAAGAAGATCTTATAAAAGCTTTTGGTATAGATAATCACACAGAAATCTGTAAAGAAATTCTTACAAAAGGAGAACTTCAGATTTCTGATAAAGAGAGGCATTCTGCTTTAGACTCTATGTTTAAAGATATTGCTACAACTGTTGCTAACAAATGCATAAATCCAGAAAATAAACGTCCATATACAGTAACCATGATAGAAAAAGCTATGAAAGATATACATTTTTCTGTGAAGCCAAATCGAAATGCAAAACAACAAGCTTTGGATGTAATTCCACAATTAAAAGCTATAATGCCGTTAGAACGAACTCAAATGAGACTCAAAGTTTCTGTTTCAGAAAAGGAGGCTAAAAAGTTAAAAGACAAAATAATAAAATTAGTAACAAAATTAGAAACAGAAGAATGGGATAACGGAACATTAAATTTAGTTTGTTTAATTGATCCTGGATATTATAGAGAGATAAATGAACTAATAAGATCAGAAACTAGGGGTACTGGTTTATTGGAATTACTTAATTTAAAAGAAATTATTGAAGGAGATGAAATTTTAGAATAAATCAATTCTATAGAATGTTATCATCTTTAATTCTTTTTTTATATATAGTTTATTATATTTAAACTGTATATTCCTTTAAGATATTTTTTCTTATAAATATTTTTCTACCATGTATATATCAACAAAAATTTGATACAAAATAGTAAATTTTTATTTAATAAATTATGTATAATGTATGTATAATATAATAAAAAGTTGTTAACCAGATGTACTTCAAAGATTTGATACAAAATAGTAAAATTTTATTTAATAAATTATGTATAATGTATGTATAATATAATAAAAAGTTGTTAACCAGATGTACTTCAGTGAAACCATAGTTATTTAATAAAATAATACATTCTATTAATTATAATCATTTTATATAACACTACATTAAAAAATGTATTATATTTGAAGACTGTACTGTGCTTTTAACTTTTTATTAAAAATCGTTACTTAATGTATTAATTGCTATGTACATTTGATAATATGACGATCCAATACAATCAATAACTGACACTTATTAATTTCACTAAAGAATATTTACAACTTACCTACTTTGAAAATATATTCAAAAATTATAATATTATTGCAGAATTTTTGCATAAAGTATTTGGTTGTTTATGTATATATATATATATATATATATTGTTTATGTATGTATATATATATATATATACTTTTACATATATGCTTTTATACTATAAAAGTATATATACTTTTACAATAAAAGCAGTAAGAAATAATCTACAGATTTTTTTTATACGTTCTATAATTTAGTTTTCTTCAGTTTTTTCAACTTCTACTCTAGGAATATATATGTTTTCTGTACGTTGATCACATTTTGCTGCAATTCGTGAGGTTGTTAATAGGAAGTTTTGTAATTTGTTTAAATATATTTGTGCTTCTTTATTTAACAAACCATCTTGGACTAAAAATGCAACATTTCGTTCTACGCGTTTACATATTGCTTTTGCTGAATGTAACATAGAACAAGCTTTACCACCACCCTAATAAGATACAAAGTACATTGTGAGATTTATGTAACAAAAAAATATGAGATGTAAATACTCTTTCGTCAGAATTCTCTTCTTACCGGAATAATATATGTTTCCTGAGGAGGTAGTTGATTGGCATATTCTGCTATCCATTCTTCCAAATCATTAATATGTTTACTTTCAAATGCTTCAGTTTTTCCAGGTATTGGTTTTGATATAGCATGACTTAAATCAAACAAAATCATTTGAACTCTTTTTAATTTATCAACATAAGGATGTTCAACTTTGCTATCTGTTGCAAATTCCCTTGCCAATCCTATTTGTGCCAATAACTCTTCAGTTGACACAAGAGCATTAAATGTTATATCATTTTGTGCAATTATATCTCCATCTACATTTGATAATTGCAAATCATTATCTCTCACAGAAACATCTTTTTTTATTACTTTTGATGTTGAACTGCTACTGCAATCAAATAATTTTATTGATATTATCTTTTGTAATTATATATTGCTATATATTTTCTATAATTCTGTAAGAATTGTACTTATTTCAATGTATTAAAATATTTAAATTTATTATAATACAATATATTTTTATTTATTATTTTAATATATTATAAAATATTTTTTACATTTTTTGTTGGCAAAACAAAAGAATTCACAAAAGAAAAATTTGTTATACAAATATAACAAAAACTTATGACAAGACTTGACAGTTTTTATATTTTTCTCAAATATGATTTTATAAAAAATAAATATGATAACTTTCTATAAAAAAATTACGTATTAAATTTGTCAATGTAGCAATCAATAAAAAGAAGTTATAACATATTTATAAATTGGTGTAATATTAAATAACATATAATATAATATAATAAAATATAAATTGATGCAACATCAAATTATCAATTATATGTATATAA